CTGGATCCTGGAATTGCCATGAGGGACAGAGCGCCTACCCTGGCGACCCAACACAAGAGCTGAGCCTTCACTGTTTATGTCACTGAGATGCGAGCAGTTAAAACAATAAGCCGCTGGCTCGACTCACGTGCAGGATCCCGATAAATAGGAAGCTCCCAGCACTTCCCAGCGAGGCCGTGCTGTCCTTCAGGGCAAAATGGATCCAGGCTGCATTGCTACTGTGTCCCCAGATGGGCTCCTCAGTACGGAAGGCACAAGGATAGTCAAGAGCAGATTCTGGAGTCAGACTCCTTGTCTCGAAAGCCTGGCAGTCCTAGTTACCAGCTGCCATGATCTCCTCATGACCTGATGTCACGAGGAGTTTTTAAAGAAATCATCTTTTAAAACATGTGAAGGATACACAGTTTTTCAAAATCATTTTGGGATGCATGTGAGCACAAAACTTAGAAAAGCAAGGTTTTAAAGCATACCAGTGTCACAGTTACAAACTCAGTCTCCAAGGCCCCTGTCATATTTTCAAATCTAAAGCTTTAGAATCCTGCCAACATGGCAAGTACACAAAATATTTAAGCATATAATTTATGTAAAGATCAATCAAATTGTACCCCTTAAGCAGCTGTTAGTCTATACTCAAAATTTTCATGAATAAACTATTTCAAATAGGATTTTTAAATAAAATACGAAGTTGCTAAATACCTTGTAACTTAGTACCCAATGCAATGTAAGTCAGCATACAAAGATTCCTAAGAGCACGATGAGGTAAATATCTATCAAAATTACAATGAAAATGTGAAGAATTGAAAACTCCGATTGTATTTTTATAAGCCTATGTATAGCACAAAAGGCCTTGTCATACTTTTAAAAAATCATGCTTCTGTCTGGCTGGGGTGGCTCAGTGGTTGAGCATCAACCTGTAAACCAGGAGATCAAGGTTTGATTCTCGGTCAAGGCACATGCCTCAGTTGTGGGCTCAATCCCCACAGGGGGCATGCAGGAGGCAGCCTATCAATGTCTCTTATCAATGTTTCTCTCTATATATCCCTCTCCCTTCTTCTCTCTCTAAAATCAATAAGAACTTATTTTTAAAAAATCATGCTTTTCATTTGCTGAAATGCAATTGTTCCTCATTCACGGACACTCATTTAAAATAGTGGCTTTTTATCATAATACTAGAGGCCCAGTGCACAAAAATTTGTGCACTGGGGGGGAGGGGGTGGTCCCCTCAGCCCAGCCTGTGCCCTCTTGCAGTCTGGGACCCCTCAGGAGATGAATACCTGCTGGCTTGGGCCCA